ATATATATATTTATGAGCACGTAGCTGAAATCCTGAATAAAAGCTAGTAACGGACTTTCGGACGGACAAGGTTATGAAACGGACTTATAGGACAGGACAAAATCTGAAACGGACCTTTCGTACTTTTTTATTTTCAAAACGGACCTTCCGGACAGGTGAAAAATTTCGGACAGGCCGGAGTATTTGTCCAGTTAACAACCCTGGTACGTAGTCAACTGTCAAATGTCAAGTGTCAAATCTCTAGTCATATTTTTATAAGAGAGTACATACTTGTCATTTTTATTGATCATTATATAATAGATAAATACAAAAATATCTTATGTTCTTGTTTTGGTCTGTCATAAAAATATTATATATTTACAGTACAGTACATATCTATTTCTATACAAACTGGACAAATTGTCATATATCTGTGTTTTTTAAAAATAAAATAAAAATATTTGCGACCAACCTGATTTTTTTTAAACATAAACTTTGTCTACCAGTATTTCCCTGCTTTCTTATCCGAGCCTCGTAGGCCTTTTTAGAAACAAACACAAACCCATAGCCTTCTAAATTTAAACACAAACCCCGCAAAATAATCAGAAGGCTATGGAATATTGGAATTGCAGCGTAGAATCGTAATTAAATGCTAAAATATTTGTGTATTTTGTTAAAAAAAAAAGCAAATACAAATATATATATCTATATTATGCAAAAAAAAAGAAACTGTTTAGACATATCTATCGTGTACTTCGTTTGTACCAGGAAGGGAATGAGGTACTCGAAAAAAATGTCCAGAGGTGCTATAAGTGGACATGTATCATCCCAAAGAGTATAGGAGCAACATACTTTGATTCCAAGGATGTCTGATCGGTGTGAACAGACCTATATAGTGCTCATGTTTGGCTAGTTTGATCCAACTCTGGTACAAACCAAAATCTCTGCAACTTTATAACCAATAGTCCGATCGGGATGAGATTAAGTATGTGTTTATTACTCGTCAATGCGAACAGCTTGAACTATTTAATGACTTATATTTGTTAATATACATCTGGGTCAACCTCCTTAGTAAAATCCTCGCCGGTCTTGAGGTTTTTATGTGAACTGAATTTTTCTATTGCTATGAAAAAACAACAACAAAACATTCTTGAATTTAAAGAAATTTTGTTTTTGTTTTTATATTTGTTAAAACATAGCCTTCTGAAAAGTAAACAAGAAGGCTATGGTTAAAAATAAATAGATGTAGGTTGTATTCAGTATTGTCGTGACCTAGAGAAGAAAGAAAGTCCGTAGTATATGACATATTATTTTTATTTAAAAAAAAACAATCAATCCGATAATGATGAGACAATGATAGTAAAAATATGTAAGAAGATAATGAAATAAATCGATAATGAAGAGAAGGCTACAAGATAATGATTGTAAAAATATGTAAGAAGAAGATAATGAGATAATGAAGAGAGGGCCACATATTGGCTTTTGAAATCGCCAAATGTCATAGCCTCCTAAAAAAAGAACGTAAATGTTCAGAAAATAGAAAGCTATGCAAATTCAGATAAGCTAGTCTATTTTATTATTCGTGTCGCGGTCGACAAAATGTAAACTCGCACAAGTTCTCCAGTCTCGTAAGAAACTGACATCCCTTTGGCAGAGTTATACGTTTGGTATGAGAATGTGCACATCCATTGTGCTGTTCGAGGTCAGAGTAGTATCCTTATGTAAAAGAGTATCAGAAAAAGGCTTACAACGCTGTATGTCCACGTATATACTTCAAAGTGGTTAGTGTTTCTTACACAAGGGTATATCCGAATACGCGCATAGCAGCACGGGCAATCGTAGATCGATTCGACATCACATCCGTAAGATTGGAAGGTCTTCCCCACAAATTCATAAGAGATATTGGTCAAGAAACAGATAGGCTCTGCCACCGGCCTCCATCCAGCATGTTATAAGGAAGCATACCCCAATCCACCTTAACTAAATACTCGTCAGATATAGTACGGTATCCACCCATACGAATAAACTTGGTATGTGCATCCACAGGGAATGAAGAGCATGAGAAGCGTACGACCAGTACATCATGTGTTTGCCCACTGAGTACGGGTGGTTGTAGGCTGCCTATCGATCTCCAAGTCCTGCGAGCGGATCCACCGCGTTACTACAGCGAAACGAGATTGAGGATGGTTAGTCAAAGAGATTGTTACAGACAGTGAAATGGAATTGGTAAAGAAGTAGAGATAGAAGTGACACTGGGACCAGTGATGAATATACATATAATCCCTGGCGGACATACCTACACGGTACCAAATTAATCTGACATCAAGTGCACATACAAACGAACAGACAATTGAATCTCTTACAACTCAGTGTGCCACTCTATGCGTCGAGTTCAAGTACACATACATTGGGCTGTGTAACTTATTATGTACACAACGTACAGATAGTAAACGTACAGATAGTACTACCATCATAAACCATAAATTTCGGAGTGATGCTATTGGCAACATCATACTCGCACAACGGTCGATACAGTATGCTCATTGCGGCACCAATATCAAAGTAAGAGCGTTCTAGCTTAATAAGCCACAATACTATACTAACTACTTTTCACAGAGAAAGTGAAAGACATGAGAATGGTCAGGCTGGATATAAACTTGTTAAGAGAGAGTTGTTCATTTACGATTTTATTTGAAGGTGAAAGACTATTGGATGCGTTGCATGTAAAACTATAGGGGGACAGGCACTTGTAATTGGCAGCAACACATATCTAAATAAACATACATACATACAGACATTCCTACACACACACACACACATATATATATATATATATATATATAACTATGCTATCATCTCGCAATGTCATTTACAATGCATACCATGATATTGCAGCCTTCAGACTGCTCTGCAGACTCATCGACCGAGATGGTTGCGGCTGATACCAGACCACCCTCGTGGTAGAGCTTCATCGTGCTCGGGCCTTCCTTAGAAGCACTCCACACAGGATCGGTTTTCCACTGGATATACAGAAGGGATGACCAATGTATAGGTGTACGGTTTATTCGAGGCAACTAACCGTAACAGCGCAGTTCACACCACCGCATCTCGATATGGGACACCGAACTCCCGGCGCGCGAGTACGTCCAACATGACGTGCGTGAGTGATCATGGAATGCTATATATGGGAACATGTGCATCTCAGAGTATCTAGGTTTTAGGGCGAAACTTAACACGAGCCTACAACCCTGAAGGGTATACGCGTCTCTCAGTGTATCTAGGGTTAGGGCGAAACTTAAACGATCCTACAGCCTTAAAGGGGATATGCATAGCTCAATGTATGTGTGCACAACTTGAGCAATGCGTGTCCATTTAAGGTTGCTTTTAGACGTGTACACTTTTGTGCCGTTGTTACATACCAGATATGAAGCTCCGATGGCACGATTGAAGTCAGCCTCGTCGGTGTAGATGGTCACGGTTGCCTACGGATTGGATAAATTTGGACAACCTTAGTGATTTGTTGTAGGGTTTTAGTATGTTATACGACATCAGTGATAATACAAGCGCACGACATTCGCAGGATAGAATCAACAGTACACTGTTAGCGTGTTTGGATTATTCATACTACACTAGTAGAGGAACCATTCCTTCGTATACGATAAACAACTACAACGTTCGTGAAACTGATTCATTATACGACACTAATAAAAAATTCATATACGACACTAATAAATATTTCATATACG